TGTACGTATACTTTTTTTTTTTTTTTCTCCACTGGTTTCAATTTTATTGAAACTCAGTTGTCGTTTAGGTACGAACACGGAAATACTTTTACGTGAATGGGCAAATCGTAGAGCAAATGGTGAAAACATTTAACTGTTACGTCAACGGTTCTTCAGCTGCATTGTAGCGATACGGAATCACTTGTTTTTGAAATCTACAGTATGTCAAAGAAAAAAAGATTGATGGCGATTGTCCAACTTGATGAAATTCTGGTGTTGAGGAATCAACCGTACTATTACTACTCAATAATAGTATATTGCGCAACTGGTGCCGTGAAGTGCGTTCACAAACATGAGACCACATTCATAAAATACGCAAGACGGTTTTCTTAAATTTCAGACTTCCTCTTTCTACGTGAGAATTTGTACGATTTTCTACAACCCCTTCTTTTCACTCATATATGTTACATAAAGTTTCGTATATAACTGGAAATGAAAATTATCTCCTTAAATTATTAAAAATTATTCTTTTGGCTTATTTAGTTTCCTCGGTCCTTCTCAATGTGTTGAATTTGAAAGTTTATTAATAATTTCTATGATGATCATTGATAGCTATAACTAGTTACTACCTAAATATTGTTGGTAGATATGTACAACAGGTAAAAATACTTATAAAATTTACTACGTGATCAAGTAATATTAAATACGTATGTTTTATTTTTATTTTTACTTTTCATGTATGAACAAAAACTTTGATAAAGTACATTCAAGTTACACCGAGGTTTCGCCCTTACTCCGAAGCTTTGACGCAGTCTTTGTTCATTTGTTTTTTTAGTGTGTGATAGGGGTAAGTGTACCTATCTCCGTGCTCTGCCCTATTACCGTGGATTTTGAAAAACTGATGATCACTTGCTCAAAATAAGAAATGTTTCATATAAAATAATTTTTAAATTTTAATAATCTAAAATGACGTTAATGTAGATGCAATTCAAACAGAAATATTTGTGTATATTTTGAGTAAATAATTATTTTCCACGGTATTTGGTACAACGCGCTCATTAACTGATTGTGTACGTATTTCCGCGGAGAGCGTACGTAAACATAACCCTATACATCCGCGGTAATACGTGCACGGTAATAGGTACACAACCACGGTAATACCAGCATACCGTTTTTATTCATTTTAAAAATATTCAACTGCAGTTTTAGCTTCATAAAATTTTTTTTAATATTCCGTAAGAGATTATGTAAGATTAAAAAAAAAAAGTATTCCAAAAAATTTTAGTATACCATTTTTTATGGTGCATTTAAGTTGAAATTTTCAGTACGTGCCACGGAGATAGGTACACTTACCCCTATAAGAAAAGAATCCACGTTTAACTTTGTCAGAATTTCATATCTGAAAGACGTAGTGGATTAAAATTGATATTCTCTTCTATTTTAAAAACATATGTATGATACAAAAAAGAAAATAAAATATTGGACACGCATTGGTATAATATGATAAAACTCGATTCCACTGCAAAATTAAGCCAATCGCTCGATGAAATTCAACAGCACGCGCTGGGATCCCACTCCGGCAACCCCGGGCTGAATCCGATGGCTTACCACCAAGGACCAGGGAGCTCGGCCCACCAAATGCTGGGAGCACCACCAGCCGTCTACTCGACCTCGGAAAATCCACAGAGCGCCCCAGGTCGACGCACTCCCCTCGGGGCCGTCGGCCTCGGTGGCTTTTACTTTCAGCAGCAACAACCGCCGGCCCAGCCACATGCCTCTTCGTCCAACACCCTCACCGACGAAAATAGACCCGATCACGAACGGTACGTACACTTACGTGCACCGAGCTTTTGTTTACTACTTTGGTTGGTTTTTTCTCGCGGCGTCTCGAGCAGCTATTCTTTGATCGTCGATTGCATTGAACGCTACAATCTATCTATTTGCACGATACGTTGAGCCACTAAAAAATCGCCTGTGGTCCGTCCACAGATCCGGAGCCCAGCGCCTGAACTGTCCATCGAAGTCGAAGACGACGAGACAGGGGAAGAGCGTCAGGCTGAACATCAACGCCAGAGAGCGGCGACGGATGCACGATCTCAACGACGCCCTGGACGAGCTGCGTTCGGTCATTCCTTACGCGCACAGCCCCTCCGTGCGGAAGCTTTCGAAAATCGCCACGCTCCTGCTAGCCAAGAACTACATTCTCATGCAAGGTCAGACTTTACTGTGCTCGGTTATTACGATACATGTACCTGCGAGTTGTTCAGCCGGAGTGCGGAATGCCGATGGTTTTTTGTACTGTGAAGGAAAAAAAAAAAAACCCGCTCTAATTGCGTTGCGTGACACTATTTTTTGTGTGCTCGGTGAGACACATGTCTATGTGGCCGAGACGATTGTACGTCAGTCATTTCGTTTGATCGAACAAGTAAATACAATTTTTGTTCTTTCCGTGTTTTTTCAGCAATATTCTTGAAAAATGTTCAACAATTGTTTCACGATATAAGAAATAAGGAAAGACAATGTGTATACGTAACTATTACCTAACAATCTTTTTTCAAGCGACGATGGACAATTTTCCTACTAAAAGTTGTCTATATTTTATTCATAGAAACGTCGCCTTACATAAATCGCGAGACAAGTATAATAGTTGCGTATTTCTCCTCCTTTAAACTAAACGGCTGCAATTGTTGATAAGTACTACAAACGAAGGTGACAAAAGTTTCATAACAATTGCAAAAAAAAAAAATGTGTTACAATCGTCACATTATTTTTTTCGCGTGACTCTCGGAACGTAAGCTGATTAAAATAAAATTTTTGGCACCAGACCTACTTTCGTTGCAAAAAAGTAGGTCAAGTTTTGCAATGCGCTATGCAACATGCCTAAATAAACCGGTCGCAACAATGAAATACTTTCACCGAGTCGATTCAACTGTCAGAAATGAGACGCGTTGTTACTGATACGTTGAAGGCGATTACTCATTCCCGAATGAAAGCTCACCTTACCTGATTCCGTGAACTGAAAAAAAAAAGAAAAAAGAAAAAAAAGAACCACTTTATGCATGCAAAGTTCAGTTGAATCACCTGAAATTCACGTAACTGCCAATACACGCATACTTAGATATATAGCCCACACAACGAATTCAAACTCCGATAGTACCAACTTAAAGGTATTTTCTCATGTTGATGCTATAACAATAGCCGTAGTAGTAGTTATCCATATAACAGAGGAAGTACGACAACGCGACACTCCAATAAAAATACACACTCTCAACTTTCTAATGGTACAGTGTACGAGGATGTATATGTACGTATACTTACCAACGCATGCACACACAATGTACATTATATTATGTTCTCGTAATACAGGAAACGCACTGGAGGAGCTGCGACGAGTCATCGCGGTGTTGCAATCGCCCCACGCCCACACGACCGCCCTACCACCGACCCCCGTCTCGTATGATCTGCTGCAAGGCTTTCCTGGCAAGCTATTTCAAGGCGTCCAAGAGCTGCAAGGCCTACAACAACAGCTCGCGCCTAACGCTCCGGTTAATCCGCAGCAGCAATCGGTCAGCCCGGCCGGAGGTGAGGTATCGGTCGCTGGTGCCGGGGACTCGGCATGAAATCGATAATTTTTAGGCTTTGTTTTTTTTTTTTTTGTTTTTTTTTTGTTTTTTTTTACTACGTATTTAGCATGAGATTTTTTGTAAGGGCTTTTTATCTGATCATCTAATATGTACAATAGCAAAAAGGTGATTTGTGTGAATGGGGTAATAGTGACGAGGATGATGCTGCTGACCGTACAGATTGAACTCAAGATAATCGGAATGTAACTTGTATGATCAAGTCATCGATTTTTTTTTAATCTCGTTTTTTAAAATTTACAACTTTTCTGTCACTTCAAGTTGTGCACAAATAACACTGGATACTTTTTAGAGAAGAAGAGTTAAATTTACTAAAATATCAAGTATTCATGAAAAGAGTTGACAAGTTATTTCGAATTCTATTAAAAGGTCGCTCGGGTACAAGTTTTGACTTTATAATTCGTGTTTACTTGATGAGCATTCGAAAAAGCAGTGTTTGAAGTACAGTGGCACATAAAACAACTATTAAGATGATGCCGTCACTAAATATTCATCCTAATTACTCATGTTGTAGATTATTTAGCTTGAAAGATTCACTATATACATACATGAAGTAAGTTAAAAAAAAAGAAAAAAAAACAATTTACATTCCGGTTTACTTTTTTTTTAGATATTCCCGCAAGGTATTACTTATTACGTTTAAAATTAAAAAGTATGTAATGTATACAAAGCAAGAAAACATTGGTAACGTGTTTATCTATAGTAATCGACAAAAACGTACGAAAGTAATGAAGCCTATGAAAAGTAAACGTGAAAGTCATTAGAAATAAGTAAGTGTATAAGTATTAAACGTCATAAGTCAATGCGTTTTTAAGTAACGTTAAGAAATAATATTAGACGCGGACTGATAAAAATAATCTAGAATATAAGAACGTCTTATGAATTATATTTATATTTGAAGTTAATTTTACCGCGATATAAGAGTGAAGAAAGAAACATATGTTAAGTTTGAGTTTTAACTACGAAAGAGAGACAGTGTGAAAGTATCAGATTTTAAAAATATAGCTGAAGCTCGAAGTACTGTTTTAGTAGCCAGTGAGCACTGTGGAGGCAAAAAAGAAAGGACGAAAATATATAAATGAAGTATAAGGAATGAAAGTCATTGAGAACAGCCAAAACAAGCTAGTGTCAAAAAAACTTTCCAACACGATAGTCAATATTGTATGTGATACGACTACATGTATTTTAGTCGCGTAAGTCGCCAATGGATAAGAAAAAATTATACATTCGTATTCAAATTATATGAATGATTATATGCGATAGTGTGGTTATGGTCTTCTTACACTCTCCGCTCACTCATCTCCTATGCGTATAAATAAGAAAATTATTAAATGAAGCCTTTACCAAAATTCATGATGGTAGGCTGTACAAGTATCTATAATTTTTTGGAGGTACTTAATTTTGCTTCAGAATAGACCTAGATTCTAGATATTTTATTTTTCTGTTCATAATTTGTTTTACATTTTCTTCCTATAGTTTCTATTCCTTATTTAACTCTATCAATACTTTGCTTTAAATTTTTTGATTCTTGCTCTTCAAATCTAATATTTTCTTAATTTTTTGGACTGTATTAATTACTCTTTATAAAGCTTCATTATTCAAGTACTTCTTTAAACTTTTTGAAAATGCTCGATAAAATTTGGCTTTTATATTGTTTTGAATTCAACATTTGGATCGCACTTTTGTATTGACACTTTACATCCAGAGTCACATTAATCTTTTTGTATCTGTCTTTTGTTTCTGTCAATGTATTTTTATATATGTATAAGCCATTTTTTTGATTGGTGTACAAGTTTAAATTATTTATTTAGTCATTTTTCATCTCCATGTTAACAACACCGCATTATACTCATAATTTTGTGAATAATACACACATTTTATTGATACTAAAACGTATCTTTACAAATAATAAAATATTCCAAAGTGAAATTCATGTGATTAACCAGTTTAAAAATGAACGTATAATATTAAAAGGCCTCAAACAATCACTCATGTTTCTATTGGAAAAATCATATATTTCTCTGGTATGTTTGAGAGTGCAGCAGGATAAGTGGGGAAACTTCTCCAGTTTTTTTACTTGCATTTAAAATCATGTAAAATTTTTTCGTAAATGTTACCTAATTTTTTGGAAGATAGTAAGAATTGTTTTGAAAACAACTATGTAATATCAAAGAAAATACTAAATATTTCTCTGAAACTTCTGTTTTTTTTTACTGTGCAAGTGGGCAAAAAAGTGACAACAAAATTGTTGTAAAATCTTTGCTGTGTGTATATTTAAAGTGCCAAAAATAATGAGAGAATTAACAAAAAAATTGATAAACTTTTTTTATGAATAGATATACTTAATGATTGCCCTTGCAATCTTGAGAAAAACCTAGCCTGTATAGCCGAATATGAGCAATAATCGACTAATGAACGTGAATGATGTTCCAAAAGTTAAAGAAAAAAATACCAAAAACAAAATGCCAAACTTAAAAGTGTACATCTCATTTATATACATTTATGAGGTAATGGAAGAGAACTACGAACTACAAAAAGTCAATATTAGAATGTATTAAGAAATAATTTAATAACAAACAGTTACTCGTCCGTAGATTGTAGAAATGATTATAAGTGTTTAGCTTGACATTAAAATCTATTTACAAATTCACATTGTACAATGTCCGATGCTATAATTTAACTTTTACCCTTCACTTTTGATTTTTTCTCATCCCACATCATTAACATTGTATTGTGTAATGTCTTATTTTCTAGCTAATAATAGGAAAAAGATACTTTATTGTAAGCTTCGAGTCTAAAAAGATGAAGGAAGAAAGCTGAAGAATATGCCAAAATCTTCCACTAAGACCATTGTGGCAATTCGATGTCACAGGCAGCTTCTTTATCCCCCTTAACATGGAACTCTCCAAATAATGCTACTGCAGATTTTTTTTTTATTTCACAAAATTGGAATAAATAATATCCTAATTTTTATAAAACAGTTTGAATACTGTCAATACCACAGGTGTAGTATCTAATAATTTTTTAGGTTTGTTTTTAACCTATAATGTTTTTGGTAATTGAAAGACAATTATTCAGTTCCAAAACACTCCAGCAGTAAGGCTAAATAATGATAATGATGAGTACTGTTATAATAGTTACGTGACGTCACTGCTGTAGCACTTTAGAAAACCAAGAATATCAAATTGTGTCCTGGCCATGATACGAGTTGATCGGCCCATTAAATTGGATTGTTAACTTGCGTCCTGGTAAGTAAAACGCAAGTGATGAGCCGTAACAGATTCTTCTGTCACACTTTATCCAGGCTTTGAACTGGCAGAATATCTGGCGTGTTTAAAAAAACTGTATTTTTACTTGATTAAAGGAATTCAAGTACGGGTAAAAATTTCTTGATTACTGAGTATTTTTTAACTGAGAAATTAGATACACCTTTTATATAATCCATCATTTCATCTCGTATATATTTTTCTTATTTATTGCTTCAGCAAATACGTACAAACTTCATTGTGCAGATTGACGTAAGTGATTTACTTACGAATGAAACGATTCACAACTATTCGTGATTATACACACTGAAGACTCTAATCTTGGCCAAATCAAAGATGGTCCAAGTACGTCATATTCAATGTTAATATTAAGGACATACTCAACAAATTTTTCAACTTTGTTATTTTTCTGCATTGTGATCATTAAGTCATATTAATGAAACAATTACTAATTTCATCCAAAGATAAAAAAGATAATCCAACAAATTGTTTTGGAAAATTATTTATTTCTGAGTAATTTTAACTGAAACAAAAACGGCCTCCTCGTTATTCTGTTTCTGGAAGATACTTAGTAGTACCATGGGCACAAAGTGCAACTGTCGCTTTGCGCCCTTGCAACCACTTTGGGCCCAGGGGTACAATAGTAGTTTTCGTCGGATAAGCACCATCGCTCCGTGGTTACCTTACGTCCCTCGGGCCATGGTTCGTAAGTCCCTTGGGCCACAAAATAACCCTGGAGACGATGGCACTTATCCGGCAAAAACTACCATTTCTACTATTGGCACAAAGTGCAACTGCCACTTTGCGCCCTCGGGCCACATTTTGCACCCTTGTAATCACTTTGGGCTTACAGGCAGAAAAGTTTTTTGCTTCCTCCGGGCTCAAAGTACTTTTCTGCCCTAGGGGCCCAAAGTGATTTACTGGGCGCAACATTGCACTTTGCGTCCTCGATAAGAAAAATATTATACGTGACTCGGAAACCAACATACAACAACTGAGCTTTTCGGGCGCTCATGTTTGTACTTTTTGCCCTAGTGACGTAATGTACCATTTTCACATACGGTCTTATAATCTCTCATGATTTTTTTTACACTAGTTGTAAGTGATCTCGATGAAAAGTATTAACGTAGTGACCAAATATATTATTAAGCGTTTATAATTGAAAACCTCCGTTTTCTAATGTTATTTGTTATTATAACTTTGACGTGCAAAATTAATAGATATTCAATGGTAAAATTGACTGATTAAAATTGAACTCAGATAAACCTACTCTTATCAAATAGGGAAGAACTCAAATTCCATTCTGTCTACACTTTTGATTCGGTTTTTGCTAAACACTGTCTCCTTGTACGCATGTAGGTACTTCTGCATGGCAACAAACTGGTGATTCCAAGAAGAGTAGATGAAAAGAAATGATTCAAAATCACCTCTTTGGCGCGCTGTATACTCGCACCTCCTGGAGTTTACGACTCGAACTTCGTAGGAAAAGGCAGGAGCAGACAAGAAACTCAGCACGGTGCGGAACATATGTAAGCTAACCTAACCTCATCTCCGCACTCATATGGTCTCCGCGCACCTCCACTTCCCACCGATCCATTCATCCTTGTCGCACGCGTTGGGTTTTCTTATAATTTATACTATCGTCACTGTCTAGTATAGCAGCAGAGCAGAGTCAACGGAGTGGCTGGCTTTCGTTTCGGCGTAGCACAGTATAGCAGTGACAGCAGCCAGTTGCGCCTGGTAATCTGTGTGCGCCTGATCGCATCGTATTCTTGGAAAGTGATCACTTTTTGGTGCTGCTCCTTGTTTCATTTGTGTTTTTTTTTTCTTTGGTCCAAACTACTTTATACTTGGATATTTGCACTGTATCCGTTCTCTTGACGTTGTACGAAGACTGGTGGGTTGTTGTTAGGTGAGAAGACCGCGTACATTTGAACGGAGACAGAGAACAGTGGATTGATACGTAGTGGCTGACAAGTATTATAGCTATTAGCTTGGCAAATATAAGAAAAAACTGTGACTGTTTTGTGAGGAAAGAACCGTGTGAATCGTGCGAGTGTGCATGCGCGCGTTGTTCAAGAGTACAACGGAGCTTTTACGTACTACCTTTACGTACATTTTCACGGACTACTATGATGGAATATATGAGTACAATCGGAGTAGTTTTCGAGTAATCAGATCCCTAAGAAGAACAAACCCTGGTGTTATCTGGTCGCTACCAATACGTTACTGGAACAAAGTCTTAACCCTGGCTATGTGAGCTCTGACGACACTACCTGCAATTAATAGCTGTGAGTACACGCATTGAATTTTTATTTTATTTACATTCTCTTATTATTTTTATTCAGATGTTAACCCTCTCCTTTGTAGAGTTGAGTTTTTGTTTTGTTATCATCGTGGCTTAGCAAGTGTCGCGCGATAATATTATCTTACAACGCACAAGTACTGTAAGGTACGAGGCTTGATATCACGCTACGTACAGGCTGCTATGTGTACTGTAGATGGGTACTATACTACTAATACACACCAGCGGCATGTGGAGTCAATAAGGGGTGGGGGTAAACGCGCCGATGAGAGGAGGGAGAGAAAGTTCGATACCTGTAATACACAGTGCAGTACCTATACATATATACAGAGTAATACATGGTGATACACCAACCCCCAAAAAGCAACCAACGATCTATCAACTACGAACGTCATTTATATAAACCTACATACAAGCATAATACGTACGCATTCATCTATTATTTATTTGCAGTTTGCAGCTGCTCTATTATTCGTAAAACCAGCTTGTTTTCCTCTGCTGACACGTTTTTTGGCGAATGAATCCAAAAAAGAAGCAAATATACTAATAGTGCAGGGCCTAAACGAACAACTTTTGTTCTTCGTTACATTCGTAAGTAATTGGGAAAAAAAAAGTAAAATTAAAAAACGTGACGCATAGTACGAGTAATGTGCTTGCAAACGCACCATCGAAGGCAAGCTAAGATATCTGACTCTCTCGTATACACGCTTTCAAGTTCGTTACCTCCTCCTTCACCAACACCAGCAGCTCGAGTTATGTTATATACACATGTATATTTGTGGACGATCGAGCCAGCAACGTCGGCTGCAACGAAATACGCTCGCAGATATAAGTATGTAAAGAATGAATGTGTAAAAGAGAGAGAAAATACGTAGGAGAGAGAGGGGAAGTCTTGAAAGTGTCGGCGCAAGGTGAAAACGCTGCCTGGCTCAGTCAGGTTGGCGCACACACACACACATCCAGAGAGAGAGAGGGTACAGGGTACTTCTGCTCCTTGGACACTATGCTTTCTAAGGATGCCTATACTCTATACCTGCGGCGGGCACATGCACTTTACTGAACGTATAGTAGGTGTGTGCACGCGCTTCGATCCTCTCTTTGTGAGGCATGCAGGGTAGGACAGACGATCCTTGAGCTCATCATTTGTGACCACTTTGATCATTAGCTTTTAAGTCCTTCAATTTACAATATTTGGAATGCAAATGCGAGTTACCCTTGTAATTAAGGATTCGTTTTGAGTTTAAAGTACAAAAGATAACTGTTTTACTACTTCCTTACAGTACATAACGTTGGTTTAATTGTTAATCGTACTTCACCTTTGATTGTTTCAATAAAACAGAAAAGGTGAATCGATTTCTAGAATTACTCATATTCACTTACTCATATAATATTATCAGCAAATCTGTAAACATGAACATTGTTTATGAAATTCGATAATGCTTAACGAGACGATTTCATTTTTTGTATTAATCAACATTCTCAGAACTCATGCCACTTATATAATGCTTTGATCCGAATTATAGAGTATTTCATTGTATACGATAATTCAAATGGTTCCATTATGCTCAACTTAATACCTCAAAAACTCGTCAAAAACATAGGGCTGAACTTTTCAACAGATACAATCAATAAAATTGTTCGAAAGAACACAACAGCGACGTTCCAAAGAATAAAAAAGGTGACCAAAACCAAAAATAAGAGTCCTGTGCACCTCAAATTCTCCCTCACAATCTTCTCCTATTGGCTAAATCAGCCACTAACTCTCGGTTTTATTATTGTTTCCTCCACTTACGAATATAACGACTCTCTTCACCTCGCCGCTGAAACAACTGCATCTCTCTCTATTTCTCTTCTTTCTGTTCGTCATATTTTTCTCTATTTTTCTCCTACCCTTTTTAAACTCGTCTCGAGTTCTATTTTTTCCTTTCTCTTCCTTCACATTTACACTGGAGACGTCTACCACCACCACCACCAGTACAGTAAGGACCATGTTCAAGAGTTGTGCTCGCCACTTTTGTTGCTACTTCTGGGCAGTTTTGACTATAGTTCATGATATCTTAGTATAAAATGGCAATCTTTAATCATTTCGGCTGGTTAGATCGATGAACAGTTACATATCGACAGTTATTCTCCTATCGCGTAGCTCTTTGCCGACGAGTTTCGCTCTTCTTATCTGCTTCTCTATACGTATATATTATGTGTTGCCAGCGTCGTGGCAAGGTTAAATGTTTTAAACGGGCTCTGCCTCCCCCCTCTCCCTCTCTCTCTTAAACAACAATTGCTGGCAAATTGCATTGTCGTCGCAAAGAGACGTTCGTCCATCAGCGAGGAGTATAAGCTTGGGATTATAATTCGCTGCCCCAGAATTCTTAATTGGAAAATTTTAATGATTGCACACGCAAAAAAGCTGCTTCTTTAAGTATGGAGTCATTTTTCATATGCACGACATGCACGCCTTAGAAAAGGTGGAAATTTCGGTCTCATCTAAAATATCATTGATGTTATATTAAAATTTTCAAAAGATTTTTTACGTTTGATTTTATTTGTGGCTTCAAATAGTTACGCACACATTTTGGTGTGAAAAATTTTTTGTATCGAGATTATCGTCAGTGTACGCATCACGATCTGATTTATGAGAATGCTCGACTTCTTTACTTAACATACGCTTAATTAACTAAGTATCGATTTAATCAAGGCTTACCCTTTTTTTTCTGTCTCGTAGTCTTACCTCATCGCGATGTCTAATCTACTCAGGAAATACGTTTCTTCTATCAACCAACATTAATTTATGCATCAAAATTTTATTTCAAATACGTGCTGAAAATTTTCTTGAGCGTCTTTGCAATGAATTTACGACTGACTTTCAACGTTGGGGACAGTCATCCAGCATATTTTTGTAACTCATTGTTATTATTTTTTTTTTTCTTTCAAGGAAGTATGTAGGAAAACAGTATACGATCTTGGAATTGAATCGAATCAGTACCAAAGAAAAGGTTGAGATTACGCGTCGAGATAACAGCTTGACTCATCGGCGTTTCTCATGAATACTGAAAGTCATGCCTGCAGCGTTAGCGTATACTAGTACAAGCGATCAAATGCGTGACATCAAAAGTACAAACACCACATAAAAAGTAAAGTTTGAAATATCTTCTCGAGTTTTATAAATAAAATATTTTTAATACCATTTCATTCTTCTTCCTGAAAGCTTCATACTACTTGGCGAGGAGTATAATTTTTGTTATAATAAGCCGCAAATGTTTTCATTTTCGAGATAAGATAATACTGACGCTCAAGTAAGTTGATACTTTCCAACTCAAGCCTTTAAAACAATTTTTTGAATTGCTTAAGAAAGTTTGAAGTTACTTGTAAAGTTCATTGCAGCTTTTCTTTAGACTACGTCATTAGAATAATTATTTCGAATGACAAAATTTTCCGAAATAACTATAAAAAAGCTGCTAATAAAGTCTTGGTAAAAATTTGTCCATCATGAATGACTTTTTTTGAAGTCAATCGATTCGGTGAAAGGTGTGTATTATATTGACATTCGATCGATTCGACGACGATACCAAGACAACGACGACTTACACAGAGTCAAAGTTTCCAGTAATACACATAGGTATGTGGACCTGTAAAAAAACTGCACCGTTGCGTATAATAAGCGCGTGCACGCCCGACCAATAAAAAATGATTCCGTTTTGCAGACAGCGCGTCATAAGTGTTACGCTCGAGGGAATCGCAAAAAAAAGAAGAGACGAGGGAACGATACGATATGACTGTATGTTTAAGTAGATTCCGCTTGACAACCGTGTACACGCACCTATAGCTTTTTCTCTCTCTCTCTCTCTCTCAATAGGATTTATTTCTATTTGATGTACATTTAAATTTTCTATGTCCAGAAAATCGAGTGTGCTAATGAAATACTGTGATTGTGTTGATGTGCTTGAATGTACTCGTTCAGTTGTTTGAGTTTAAATTTGGTAATTTATTATGAAATTATGCATCCTTGTGGCTAATACTAGTTGGGACAAGCTTTTTTTCTAGCAGCAAAGCGGTAAAACCCATTTTGAAATTTAGTGAGAAAACAAATGTACCATCCATAAGGATAAAAAAAAAGAATTACGTACAAAGTTTCTTTCGAGGTTTCTTTGCTTATATTACAGAAACAATTTTCAGCTGACGTGTGGTGGAAAGTAAGTGAGTCGTTTAATGCTAATACAACCTTTTTTTTTGTTTCATTTTAACAATCATATCTTATTAGTTAATAATAGCTGAAATTAAACATTTATAAATTTAATCACTTGTTCATAACAAACAAATCTTTACAATTCTACAGTTAAAATCTCACTAAATCAAACTACAGATACTAAAATAAAAGAATGCATTTTTGATCCAATAAATTCATTTTCAATCAAATTAATTGCTTTGAAACTATTGTTATTATTTTTATTATTAACTTTATTGTTGATATATTACAGGAATAATGTATCATTTTATTTTCATGAAATACGTCGAATAAAGTATCCAACTAGCTTTTTCAAGTTGCATCAGTGAAGGCTTCATAAGATTACAAAAAAATGAAACTCAATGCATAAGACAGAAAGCACACCCGATGCACAGTCTGCAGTTGAAAAGATAAGGCTCTTTTCTGCTTCTATATCCCTTGAGTGTATGTAATTATCGTCTCTTTACTCTTTTTTTTATTGATTTTTTTTTTTTTTTTTTTACATACTCGACACGAAAAGTATGGAAACGTATAATCACAGTCACATGAACGAAAAGAGGCACACATGTGATTATTATCTGCATGCCACTTTCTAGGTTAAATTAACAGAGTGTTGGATCCGAGATGCATCGCTATACCATACTATACTGACTGACGTCGTGGTATGCATCTGACGTCAACTCTATCTTGACGTTTTTCTCGTGTGCGTTTACTTAATTTATTTTATTTTATTTATTTTTTTTTTTTTTTTTCAAACCTAAATA